TGTGTGTGTGTGTGTGTGTGTGTGTGTGTGAGAAAAACGAGTGCATTTTGTCACCCACTTTCGTCTCAGCAACCAAGAAAGCTGGGAGGCTGAAACTTTGGATATATGTTTTTATGCCGTGTGTCATCCTCTCGTTTTAAGATCTTTCCTCATACGCGCCTAGACCCTGCGTACAGGATCCTCAGAGAAATATGTTGGCGGAAATCGACTTCGCGAACCGGGCAATGTAGAAAGCTGAAACTTTGCAGGGATATTCTCTATGCAGGTGCGAGCCAAAAATTTTAAACTCACCTCTCTAGCTCCCCAACCACAGCCCCAAGCAGCTCGTCAACCCAAAAATCGTTAGCAACTCCGACCTAAACCGCAATCGTATATGTAAATGAGCATAGATTATTTGACAAATGACCATTCGAGCAATACTTTCTATTTTCAATGAACTGGAAATTTGCATTTTTTCAAAAAAATCATTCGCAACTCGGACCTGAATCGCAATAGTATATGTAAATGAATATGGATTTTTTGATAAATGATCGCTCGAGCAATACCTTCATTTTTTTTAGTGAACTGGACATTTGCATTTTTTAAAAAAATTAGCATTTGTCATTTTTTCACAAAGCGAGCATTTACCGGAAAAACGGCTGAACTTCATGCAAAAAACCGGTAACCGTGCACCTGAAGGTCCATGCGGCTCTGTAATGTACCATCTTCATCCCAACTCTCGCCCTTCTTCCTGCATGCCGGAAAGGATCAAAGCACGGCCAATATGACCTAAATGTTAGGCTACAGCGTAGGGGTCATTTCTGCTATTAGCGATCTGCGAGGTTCGTGCAAAAATGCATGATCTCACCGGAGAGCCTGGTGCGTTCCGGCCCTGGGTTATTTAGCAGTTTGCATTACTCTGTGCATTGCATGGGCTTCAGCTGCATTCTCTATCGAGGAATAAGTCTTTTCACATAGCACTCAAGGTCAGAGCTTCATGTTCTTCCTTTTTTCTCACCGTATTTTTAACAGACACTCCAGCATTCATGATTTAAATTTAAATAGAATCTTTTGTTTTTGTCACGAATGTAAGAAAAAGCATTCGCTCGTTACCATATCAAAAAAAAAAAAAAGAAAATAGCTGCCTTTTAAAACTAGGGCTTCTTCGGATACCAGGTACCGCCTTATTGGGTTCCTTTTACTCTCTTTACCTTACCCACCTTCAGGACAATCTTCCTGCCCAACTGACATAACTGTTTTCGAATTGATTATTGGTGAACTCGGACAGCCGGCTTTAACACGGGTAACCGCTTAAGTCACAAATGGCCCATACCAAAGCCTCATTCTTAACAAAGTTATTTTTAATTCCAAGCAATGGTGACTTTTATTCAAGGAAATCGAAAGATGAAAACAAGCCGCTGCCTCTGAATTTTTCTGGGCAACAAATTTGGATACCCAAAATGCAGAAGTTGCCGCCACCACATCTTTTCTTTTCTTTGATGCTGGTAGTGAGCGAATGAGAGATATGGCCGAATTCTTCATCATAGATCTGCTGAACTACAGATGAAGAATATCCATCGTTGCAACCGAAATCCATGGACGAATTTACACCGCTACTCAAAAATGTGGTGCGTGCCATTCGACGCATACAGCTTCTGGTGGCCAGGCGGAAATTTAAAGAAGCCTTGAAACCATACGACGTGAAGGATGTGATCGAGCAGTATTCTGCCGGACATGTTGATTTACAAGCGCGTGTTAAATACGTTCAACAGAGGTTGGGCAATTCTTCCTAATTATTTCTAAATAAATGAAGCGTATTCCTTTACATGAAGCGTATTATTAATCATAATTTA